AATGATGGCATTTGTCTTCCCAAGTCACCATTACATGTGATGGGGCCCTGCTTTCAAACACCTGCCTGCCCATGGGGAGTGGTAAATGAATTCCCAGTTTGGCTTTGCTTGTGTGTGTGTAGTTTTTGCTTTATTTATTAAACTGCCTTCATCTCAACCCATGAGTCTTCTCACTTTTACTCTCCCAATTCACTTCCACATCCTGACATGGGGGTAGTGAGCAAGTAGCTGTGTGGGGCTGACCTGTTGGCTGGAGTTAACCATGACATCCAGTTTCATTTGCCATATTTCTATTTGCTATCTATATGCACTTGACTCAGTAACAGCAGAGCACATTTCAGAAGCATAACGAATGTGTTTATATGTTTGCCCCATTCTTTTGGGTGTACTGTAAGTCTAAAGCTTACAGTAGCTTTGTTCTGAAACAAGCTACATAAACAAGCAGTTTCTTACATTGATGATGGTAAAGTCAAAGTATGCTCTGCACTTCTAATACTCATTTGCAAATTGTCATATTACATAACTCACACTTTTTTGCCACCTGTTAAAACTTTACTACAATGACAGCAAAGTAGATAAAAAGAGCCTTGTCAAATCCCCCAAAATATCTTTACAAGCTCAAGATATAAATGAAAGCAGGGAAGTTTGTTTCCATAAAGTCTGAACTTATTTGCACTCACAATCCTGCAGTAAAATTTGACATGAACTTGGTTATTTATCAGTACTGAACAGTACAGGTTTTCCACACACTGGATTTTCACTAACCTTCCTTTTAATGTGTTCCAGCAAGTCCTCCCGGCCCTGCCTAAAATATGCATGCCGAAACTCTACTGGACCGTCTCGCTCCTGTTTGACAATTCCAGAATCAACATGGACAACTTTACGGAAGCCATCTTTAAAAAAAAAACAAAAGAAAAGAAAAATCTCAAAACCCACATTAAGAAATTCAAAATATGCTGTCCCCACTATCCTGTTATCAATTTTGAGAATAAGCAGTATCCTAGTTGTAGAGAACACAAAGCACCTGCTCAAAGGAAATGATAACTTAACTTTTGCATACAAGATTTAGAACTGTGCTAGAATGCAAAAATCCAGGAACTTACACATGTTTAACTGTCTGACAAAGCTTGCCATGTTGTTATGCTTGAAGTACTTGGGAAGAATCTCTTTTGCAAATCTCTGTTCATCCAACACCAAGAAACTCTTTCCATTCTAAAATGAGAGAGACACATTAAGCCACTTAAAAACCATAGCAGAAAACACACTGGGCTTTTAGAATTAATCACCAGATTGGAATGTTTCCTTTGTGCACGCAGTACATTACTGATCTGCTTGCCTACAATTTTCCAAAACAAAAAGGGTACAAACCTTGCAGTTGCAAAGCAACTGAGTACTATCAATTTACATCATTACCTGTATCTGAAGGCAAACATCTCTACTGTTACACACTGCTTGAAGATAGGAAATAATCGTTTACCAGCAATGATCACAGTTTCACTACAGGACAATACTCTCAATTTTGAATGCAGTTTTGAAGCCCTGGTAAGGAATCTTAACAAAGAACCTGAGCAAGGAAAAAATACCAACAACCATCTGACTGTCCCATCTGCTTTTCAGTGTAAAACCATGATTGGTTTGATAGGATCTGTAGAGCAGATGAAGCTGTCAAAGAGGTGAGGGTGTCCACTGGGTTTTGGAGTTACCAAAAAGGTAGTCACCTAAAGCAAGATTCCCCTTCTGGAATGCCAATTGTGAGGGAAGACTGATCTTTTATTTAATCCACAGGCTTTAACTAAAATAGAAGGATCAGATCTTTGTTCTTCAATGACTGCACTCCATTTAAACTACAGGACAAGTAAATGGCAGAATGCAAATTACCTACTTCAAAATGGTCTAGGTTTTGTCTACACATCCACAATACTCTCACTCTGTAGTTAATAAAAAGCCTTATCTTCAACAAATGTCAACACTTTTCCTGCATCTTCTTAAGAGGCCTTTTTAGTTTAGTGAGTCACTTCTATTATCCTCAAATGCCAGCAGCTCTGTGATCCCAAGAAGCTTAAAGAACCAGATGTAAGACCATATGAAGGTCCTTGTCCAAAGGCAGGTGCCCTTGTTTCAGCTAGGATAGAATTAATTCTTTTCTTAGTAGCTGGTAGAGTGCTGAGTTTTGGATTCAGTGAGAGAATAATGTGATAGTACAGTGAAGTTTTAGTTGTTGCTGAGCAGTGCTTACCCTAAGTCAAGGTCTTTTCAGCTTCCCAAGCACTGCCAGCAAGCTGTGAAGCTAGGAGGGTGCATGGCCAGGGCAGCTGACCCAAACTAGGCAAAGGGATATTCCATACCAGAGAACATCATGCCCAATATATAAACTGGGGAGTTATCCACCAGGAGGGCCAACTGCTGTTCTTGGATGAGCTGGGTACTGGCCTGCAGGTGGTCAGCAATTGTATTGGGCATTTGTTTCTCTTGTGTTTTCTTTCTGTTTTATTACTGTTATCACATACTTTACTTCATTTCAGTGTTAAATGGTTATCTCAACCCACGAGTTTTACTTTCTCTACCAGGGGGTGGGGAAGTGAGCAAGTGGCTGAGCTGTACTTAGTTACCAGTGGGGGTTAAACCCCAACAGCTTGTTCCAGCAAATCAGCAGGAAGCATCAGAAACAGGATGTTACAAATGGCTCTCCACTGGATGACTTAGGCCTCAACACTGAAAGTAGGGAGATTAAAACTTCCCCTAATGCCTACCTACCTCCTGCTGAGAACCAATCAGTGGAAGAAAAAGGGGAAGCAAAAGAAATGCAAGAACAGACTATTTTAGCCAATGCTGTGTGTTAAATTCACAAACTGAAGGTGCTGAACCAAATGGAACTACCGTGACCTGTGACACCAAGAGACAACTTCCATGTGATGCCTCACTTTATCAGCACCTTGACATTGTCCAGGCCTAGCACATGAAAAATGTGGGAAACACATCCACAAGCTCTTGTTGCCCTGACAGTCATTTACAGCAAAGCTGCACAGACATTAAGCCTGTAAGCTTCACTACACAGCTAAATACGATTGTCAACTCCTAGTGCCAATGATTTCAGAACACAGAAGTCTTCCAAGTGCTTCATTCGGTACTCCTCACCCACATCACAAGCAATCCCAATACCTCCTCACACAGGAACTGCTGGTTGTTAACAGTATCAACTGTGATGGGTGAACCTTCCCCTCTAGAAACAGCTTTGCAGAATCTCAATTATTTTTACTCTTTTTAATTTAAAAAATAACACAAGGATACCTACACATGTATCGGTACATTTACTTTAAATAAACATTAAAATAGATTTGAAAATACTCCATTAAAAGCATAAGGCAGCAAAACCAGCATTTTTTAATGTAGACAATATCAATCTTCATAAAGCCTTTAGTATCTTTCTTCCAAAAAAAAAAAAACAAACCCCAAAAATCACAAAAAAATCCCATCCTAAAACAAAACAAAATGGAAAAAAAAAAAAAAAAAAGAAAAGCTGCCATAATCTCCTGAGGCCTCCTGCTTCACTCCTTGGGAAGTCTTGGCTGAAGGTATTGGTAAATCATTTTCGGTATATTTAAGACATTTCATTATTTCTAGATCATTTAAAATAAGAAGCTCTCAATTGAGTTTAACTCAATACCACTTGAAGATATTGATACGATTTGAGAACAACATTTTATTGAAAACAGCATATAGGGAAAAACATGAAGCAGTTATTATTAAAATATGTGCTTAGAACTGTCAATGATGCTCACAGTATCAACTTGCCAGCCCTTCATTGCCCTGTGAGAAAAGTGGCGCCCAATTCGACTTCCCCCGTGGCCCATCCCCTTCCCGCCACCCCAGCAGGTGGACACCGAGCCCGGGAAGCCCCCGGCCATACCACACGTGGCCGCCCCCCAGAGCCCCTGCGGGATCCGGCCCCGCGGGCAGCACACAGGAAACAGCACCGGGCCTGAGCACGCCGCTCTTCCCATCCTCCGGAGCTCTCCCGCAGCCCCGGCTAACAGAGGGCGAGCCCCGTTCCCGCGGTGGGAAATCTCCTCGCAGATCCACGTTCCCCGCACGCCGGCTCCTTAACCGCACGGCAAAATCCTCCGGATCCCGGGCCCCTTCCCACCCCCACGGGCGCCCGAGCCTGCTCAGTCAGAGCCGCCAGACAGACACCCCCACCCTCCGCAGCTGTGCTAGGGACGCGCCCCCAGGGCGGGCACCGCAGCTCCTACTCCACACTTAAAAAACAAGGGAGAGGCTGAGGGCTAAGGCGAGCCGGCCTCTGCCGAGCAGCTCAGCTCAGCGCGGCCCGAGCCCAACCAAGCCATGTGGCCGTGCCCTGATTTTCCGTCCTCCCCACGGGCACGCCGAGACCCCAGCAGGCCCCGATGCCCGGCGGAGCGAAGCGCAGGGTGATGGCGGGGGCTCCGCCACACGCGGACGGGTGGGGGGGGGGGGGGATGCGGCCGACCTGGCTCCAGGTGATGAGCTGGTTGCTGGGGGTCTCGCCCAGCAGGGCCCACAGCTTGCTGAGGAAGGCCGGGACCCCCGGGCTGGCGAAGGGAGGCGACGGCTGCTGGGGAGGCTGCGGGGGCAGCGGTGCCGGCGGCTGCTGCTGCTGTTGCTGCTTCATTGTCGCTCGGGAGCCTCCGGGCCCTCTGTCCGGGAGGGAGCACAAGCAGACCGGCCTGGCCCCGCCCCAAGCCCCCACCCCGCATGCGCGGCGGCCCCGCAGCTCGCGCGCGTGCCGGCCCCGCCCCTTCCCCCTGCGCCTTACATAACGTCCCCACGTGTGCCGCCCTCACGTGTCACAACAGCGCCGGCACGGGGGGAACGGGGCCAATAGCGGCGCGCCTCGCGGCGGGGGGGCGGGGCGGTGGCGCGCGGGCGCACGTTCCCGGCGGGGCAGCGGCGCGTGGCGAGGGGCGGGCGGGCGCGCGGCTGAGGAGGCGGGCGGTGAGTGAGAGCGGTCCCGGTCCGGCTCCCGGGAAACGGCGGGCGAGTGCCCCAAGCGGGCCTTCTAAGGCCTTATCCCAGCCTGGCGTTTCCGAACCGCCTGGGAGAAAGGTGAAGAGTAGCTAGTCAGCTCTAAAACATGAGTACACAGGGCGTATGCACAACAGGAACGTGCAAACCAACTCTCCCCAAAAGCATCTCAGGCAGGCCCTAAGCAGACCCCTCTGCAAGGCAACTTGTGTTTAGACTTCAGACTTATCAGCTGCTGAAACTGAGAAAAGAAACTGGGTATCTTCAAGGAAAACAGACTAATGAATGGTGAAATACACTAATTTTTTTTTTTTTATACTCTACCAAGTATTTTGCAAAACTTAATCACATATTAACTGTTGATAGTTTTTAAGAAGTTGTTCTATTGAACTAAAATTAGTATTTTCACAACAAACCTTCATTTGTTGTGAAAATACTAATTTTACTAATTTACTAATATGTGAAAATACTAATTTACTAATCAAACCTTCATTGACTGGTAGTGTTACTAATATTTTTGTGGAAATTTCTCAAAAATTTCTCAGAGAATCTCGGTGAGTTTTATCTGCTTCAGCTTACAATGAAAACGAAGCACAATGGCAAAGGGAAGATAACAGAACCTTTAGCAGGGTAGGCAGCAAGAAAATGAAGTTCAATATTTCTGTTTCAAGCTGTGTATCACACAGCTTCCCTTTTGTGATCATTAGCAGCCTGCCACAGCCTGTAACAAACCCTTTGACTGACATTCACTAGATCATTCCTGAAAGAAGTCACAGTTGCTAAGTTTATGGCTCAGCTTTTCAGGGTCAGTATTTGGAATGAGAAAACTTAAGTTAATGCCTTTTGAATTTAAACACAAATTTACAGTAATTTTCCAAGTAATTTTTCATCCTGACATGCATGTGCAGCAAGCTCTCACCAGATTCCATTTATCCAGATACAAATGCTAGATAAGCAGAGAGAAGAAAATGGTTGTGATTTAATCTGGACTCAGTATTGCTCTGCATCTTATATTTCTTGTTTACAACTTCCATCTGAAAAGAGAAGTTGATTTGCAGAATTGTTGGGCAGTATTTCAAAAGGTAAACCCCTATATTGAGGTCTTTGGCTGAGACAGAAATGGAACCACGCACTTAATTTTTTTTCATTTCCCTCGTAGATTGAACATCACCACGGTGAAAAAGACTGCTGTGTAACTCGATTTCCAGTGTCTTACAGTTGAGGCAAGTCTTTAAAACTTTCTTTCTAAACCTCAGTTTAGGAAAAAAGTTTTCTTCTGAAGCCTCAAGGCTTGAGAACTGGAAGTTATTTATTAATACTTAACATAAAATGTTAGCAATGTACAACTCAAGTAAGGCTTCCATTAGGTTTTTATTTTACTGTCTTATGAAGTCTGAGCACAAGGTACTTGTTTGTCCCTGTTCATAAAGCTTTCGGTCACATTATTTTACAATCCAGCCATTTTAAAACTCACTAGTCTTTAATCTGTGGCTATTTGACTTCCCAGTATCTTCATAAGCAGTCTGTAATCTTTTTCCACACTGCAGTAAATTTTTCCTCCAGCTAGCTTGCAGAAATCTGGTAATTATCAGCTCTGAGACAGGTCAAGCTATTTAAATCTTCCATGATGCAGTTCTCACCCTCCCTTCTCCAGAAAAACATTGCACTTTAAAACCTCTCAGGTACTGTGAAATGTTGGGAATTCAGATCTCTTCCCATATCTCTGAACTAGCCCCTCAAGCTCCAGCAGATTCTGTTCCTCCTGAGCCTCATTCCCTCCTCCCCTGGGCCCAGAGATCCCCCAAATGTCAGAGTTCCAACTAAGACCTAGTGCTCAGGGACTAAGGGAGCACTGCCAACAGGAAGCATCTGATTTCCAGCGCTTTTTTTCCACAGCTTTCACGGAGAGGCTACATAGTTAGCAGCACCTCAAATCTGGGCAGGAGGCCAAAGAATAAAGTTAGATAGCTGTTCATATCACTGTTTGTTTTGACATCCCAGATGCCTAAAAATCACATCCATCACTGGTCTCTTCCTCTCATGCTCGAGCAGCAGGCAGCCCCACAGCACTCCCATACTCTTATAGGAACTTTGACCACTACTAGTCCAGTTTTCATGTGCTTTAAGAAAAATAATTTGGGATGGGGACTCTGTTCCACAGCACATTTACAAATAGGGGTCGCAAGGCAGCCCTCAGGTAACAATACTTTTCTGATATGAACTTAATCTATCTTCTCTGACTTCCTATTTTATTCCCCTACAATGGGATATGCAGCAGGGGTCAACAGCCCTGCTTGTGCTGTTGGTCTGGCTCTTGTAAGTCTGAAGTGCAGTCTCTGTGAACTCCAGTTACAACAGACCCTGACTAAAGCCTGAGTCAGCTCCCCAAGGGATACCAGTCTGCAGATTTTCCTTAAGACAAACAGCATGATGCAAAACAAGAAACTTAAAATGACAGGAGAGACAAAGGCAGGGGGACAGATTTCAAGGCAATACTCTCCTGTTTTTGCTACCACTGTTTGTCCTGCCTGAAAGGCCAGCATTTGAAGGTTGTCTTTATTGATTTACTGTATTGATCCCTATGAAAGCAAGAGACAAATCAAGACACTGAGCTTGCACAAATGTTACCCCTGGAACAAGCACAGGCAGCCAGCCACAAGTAGGCCATCCTGGATCAAACACTGCAGAGCACCTCATAGCCAAATTTCATGCAAGCCTTCCACCTTTAAAAATTATTACACTACTTAAATAACTAAAAGTGTTCCTGGAAGTCCCAGCTCTACACATACTAGGATCTCCTTGAATCAAAAGGAGATTCAAGGCCCTAAGAGGCCTAGCTTTAAATTAATCCTCCTTGAACCAAGGATGGTCTGAGATATCTGTATTTGTAATGAAACCAGCTAGAGTAGGCAAGGTAGATGACATTTCAGAGAGCATCTATAGAGATTAATGTCATGGTTTAGGGCAAATTTAGGAGGAAACCTCCAAATGAGGTACCTCCAGAAAGCAAACCCAAGCAGGCTCTCCCCCAAGTGGTTAGGAAAAAAATTTCCTCGGAGAAAAGTGGAAAAAACTTTTTATTTAACAAGAAAAGTATGCACAAGCATAAAAATTAATAATATTAAAAAAAACCCCTCTCTTTGTTCTGAAGAGATGGCAAATTCAGCAAGTCGTTGTCGTAGACTGTAGCTCAGCTTGCTCAGTCTCTCATCAGTCCCTCCTGCACTGGAAAAAGCCACGTCCCAGGCCCCAGTGGGCCACAATGTGAGCTGCTGGTGCTCCTATGGGTTTTCCGTCCAGAGCAGGTTTGAACAGTTCCAAGAAAAAGAAAAAACATAGTCCAGGGAACTTCACTGCCTCAGCTAGCTAAAAAACACTAACTGAAAAACAAAGGAGACCTTTCTCCTGCTGTCCATCCATGCTGCAGACAACACAGTCCAGGAGAGAAAAATGCTGAAGCTCTCTATGTTTTGAAAACAACTGCCTCAGACATTCCACTGCTTCTCCTTCTCCCCCCACTTCACTCTCAGATCTAGTTTTAAAGGTGCAAAACTTATTTCTGGGCTAAACAGAAGAATGGGCATACAAGTCAGCATCATAAAGTCACCCTAAGACAATTATTCTTCCAAAGTAATATCTATTCAGTTAGCGATATGCCATCCTTGTGCATCTGATTCAAGTGACACTCAGTGTTTTGGATGGCTGAGTGATTAATTTTCCTTCTTAGGCCCTGCAGGAAGAACAGATGGCACAGTCAGCACACCAGACATTTAACAGACAGTGATAAAACAAAGGCTGGCATCAAGTTTCAAAATTAGGTTTTGATAACTGATCCCCACAGTATATTTAAAATTAAGCTATGATAACTGAAATCATCTTCCATTCATGATCAATGGCTTTTCTTTCTTGAAAGGAAAATTCAGACCTACATTCATATTGACTACAAACTGTTAAAGACAGCTTGCTTTGCAAAAAGCACAGAAATGGTATCCATTTCTTATTTGCTTATGTGTGAGGAATACTTGAAAGAGACTTTTCCAATTAGACAAGATCTTCCATACACCTTGAAAATGCTTGGTGTTTGGTAAAGACTGTTTTCTCATAATACGAGGAAAAGTTATAAACTTGGAAAAGGTATATTTTAAACAAGCTATAGCATTGTTTAGTTGAAATAGCATTCAATTAAACTTACTATCTTTAAAAAATTCCAGATTTAAAATGCCTGAAGCCATAAAAAAACTATCTTAAAAAAAGGAGGCAAAAAATATCTGAGTTGAAACCCATTTCTTAACCTGCTAACAATGAGTTCAGGCCAGATTAACTTTGTAGAAAATGCTGAAAATCAGGTAATCTTTATATTGAAGCTTTCAAAAATATGGTAGATTTGTAAAAAAGAGGGAAGGGGGTTTCATGGGCTGTACACCTGGGAGAAAACTTCATTGAAGTTTTAGAGCAGCTTGCTGGGACCACGTCTTAGTAATTGTGGAAGTTCAATGGTAAGAAAAAAACCCAAAGTATTTGTGCTCATTTGGTCATCCAAATGTAACAGTTTTACTCTAAAATGAAAAGTAGATACAAAAACCTATTAGCACAATTTTCTGTGCTTCAAAGAAGATTTTGTTACATAGACGTTCGGAACATTGTGACAATGAAGGCTCATAAATCAGAGCAAAGCATGAAAAGAAACTTTCATCTCGCCGGAAGCTAGTTTAAAACCACATACTACATGCATGATTTACTTATTCTAAGGCCTCTATTTCATGCAATTTCACATTCTAAACATTAGGACCTCCATATAATAACTGTTCTATCAGCTCAATTCCAGAGCATGGCAAAGCTTTCTTCAAAGCAGAATTGCATTGTTTTGCAGGTCCCTTGCATTGGTTTATTCTTATCAAAAGCACAGTGGAAATTCTTTGCAAAGTACCAGTGAGCAACCCTAACCATATATTTTACACAGAAAAGTAACAATGTTCTCATTAAGCTTTAAAATTAACATTATCTTTAATATTAAATTAGATTAGATTAGTCTGCTCTCAAGGCCATTCAGAGATATGATTTGAATGGATAAAAAACACCTGCTCTGTGGGTGTGGAGTCTGTCATCTCATGTCTCCCCATGCTAATCTCCATTTAAAAACTCTCTTCAGCCTGTTTAAACCCTAAAACACCGAGACTGAAAACAAAACAAACCAAACTGGCTAATTTCAATCTAATTTACCTGAATCTGAATAGGTGGAACTGTAATATCCTATGTCTGTACCTGATCTACTGTTCTCATTGTTTGTTCAGGCTCCCATAAGTTTTTATGAAGAGAAAAAAATTACTTGATTTCCAGAAACATGTCCAAATTTACTAGTTTTCCTGTATTGTCAGAGATACTAGAAAAAAAAGCAATGATTTACTGTAGTTTCCACAGGATTTTGCTATTTCCTTCCCAGCTGGGTTAAATGTACTGCTGAAGCAGCCACGCACCAGAGTTGAGTGGACAGCTGGTGACTGAAAGGCTATCTATGCCATAACTGCAATTGCAGCTGTCATCACCTTTGGTAAGTTAGTCAAATGTAAGCCCTTATTGAATGTGCCTCAGTGTTGTCTGCTGTGCTAGGCTGCTTATTCTTCCCCACACAAATTGACCATTAAGTTGAGAACCTCCTGCAACTGGTAGTTTTCTGTATTATGCAGACGTAAGAGCTCAACACAGAGCATCTTGACTTCACGGTTCTGGCAGATTCTGTCTGTGGTTTACACATATTTGGTGCTTTATCCTGGAATTTTAATGTAGTCTCAACACTGTCTCTTTCTCCTCTCCCCTGCTCTGATAAGAGCTACAGTCATAGCACATCTATGGGTATGGGCTAATACATCTTTTGGGGACATAACAAATAAATTAATATTCATTTGACTTCACTCTTCATCATTAGGGTCTGTCCTTCAGTGCTGGGGTACAAGTGTCAGGTGTTCTTAGAGCACCTTATGATTGTAGTCATAATTTGCTGTATGAGCAAAGCACTTGAAAATTAGAAAACCATGGAATCATTTAGGTTGGAAAAGATCTTTAAGATCATCAGCTCCTGCCATCAACCTAACAGTGCCAAGTGCACCACTAAAACATGTCCCTAAGCACCATGCTACTTGTCTTTTAAAAATCTTCAGGGATGAGGACTCCACCACTTCCCTGGGCAGCCTGTTACAATGCTTGACCACCTTTTCAGTGAAGAAATTTTCCCTAATATCTGATCTAAACCTCCCCTGATGCAACTTGAGGTCATTTCCTCTTGTCCCTTTGCTTATTACTTGGGAAAAGAGACTGACCTCCACCTGGCTATACCCTCCCTTCAGGCAGTTGTGGATAGTGATAAGATCTCCTCTGAGTCTCCTTTTCTCCAGGCTAAACAATCCCAGCTGCTCTTCATATGACTTGTCCAGACCCTTCACCAGCTCAATTTCCCTTCTCAGGACATGCTCCAGCACCTCAATATTTTCTTGTAGTGAGAGGCCCAAAACTGGACACAGGACTCAAGGTGTGTCCTTATCAGTCCCGAGTACAGAGGGGCAGTCACTGCTCTGGTCTTGCTGGCCACATTATTTCTTTCACAAGCATGACGTTACTGGCAAGTATTATGAACCAGAATCTGTACTCTGAAAGCTGTATCCTATGTTCTTCTTTTACCAAGCCAGTAACACACAGTAGGACATTCCACTTGCACATTTACTAGTTACATTCAAATAATCTGTCTTTTAAAGAAACAAAGGTTTTTCTCCATGCTATTGTTAAGACACTGCTGCTCTTAACTTCAACTAAGTGCCGCTCCTTCACAGAGAGAACACTGCAAGAATCCTAAGAACATGAAAGGCTCTACTTCAATAACAATTTCTCCCTGCTCTGTCTTCCCTTACAATGCAGTGTAATTCAATGCTTTTCACTCCCTTACTGCTGTGCTACCTCCCACACTAGGTTGCAATAACTATTAGATCAAGGTAAGTTGGATTAAAAAATACACACACAAAAATAATTCTTTAGACACCTGGGGGGAGTGAGCTTTTTTCCTGTATCAGTTCTATAGTCCAGTTCAAGTAATTCAGATCCAAAAGCAGTTGCAGCATCCCAGCCAAAACAATGTCCTAGCACTGGAAGTGAAGAGCTAAGAAGCTTGAGTTAGGGTACACTATACCTTGGGATTCTCTCCACCCAGCAAAGGTTTTATGAAGAGAGGTGAAGCACAATAAAAGCCAATTAAAGACAATTCTATTTTCAAGTACTTAAAGTACTTGAAAACAGATCCTGACTAAAGGAGATCTCAGGCTTAGTAACTTTATTATACAGACTAATGCCTTTTCACAACTATTCAGCAGACTACTCAAAATCCAGCTAGCTAAAAAAAAATAAGCAAAAACAGTTGAAAATTTTATTATTACTGCTGTAAAAGCTGCATTTTAAAGATAATAATGAAAATGCTAAAACTAAATTTCATTCCCTGTGTGCATTTCTGTTGAAGCCTGTAGTAGATATTGTGGAAGTAAAATGAAAGCATTGTTTGTGTAATAGTCTTAACATTACCCTGAAAGCAAAACCAAAACACAAATCTACTCAAACATGCAGCCATAGTAACCATCAGCAAAATCTCAGGAAAGCATAGTTTTGTTATTCCTATAGACCTGAAATTTTAAATTAAATTTTAAAATAAATACAAATTTAAAAATTTCTGTTAGATCTGTGGAGTTTCTTTGAAACAGGGGAAAAAATATATGACCATAGCAGATTACAACTATGGCTAGTTGAAAAGAGTAAAATCACTTGTATATGCAGTTGCCAGGTGTTCATGAAGTGCAGAGCTCCCCTTTGGAAGTCTTCAAGACAGCAAAGGCCACAAATGCAACTTACTCTAACTACAGTTTGCAGAATGGCTTTCTATGAAGTATTTTCTTACTCTCGCTGTGAGGAAGGGTATTTCTACTTAACATCCGCAGGACAGTGCTACATCATGTGTATGAGATCAGTACTCCCTGCTCCTGACCCTACATTACATGGCTGGCATAACCAATGCCATTCTATAAGACAAGCAGCTGCTCTCTGTAACCAAGTAGGTAATGTATTTGTTCACTTTCCCTCATTATCAGGCCCTGAAGGTCCTATGAACCAAGCAGACAAACCAAAGAGATTTCGTCTTCCCCTCCCACCCTGCCTCAAGGTTGCTGGGTGCCAGGATAATTACTCCCTTGCCTGCCAGCCCTGGAGGCCCCAGGCACCCAGCCAGGGAGGTGCTGTTGTTGACCCTGAGGGAAGCCTAACAGCACACAGAGCTGTAATTGTAAGTTAGGTTGTATTATAAATGCTGTATTAGGATACTTCTTAATTGGAGTACCTTCATTCTGCTTCTAGAAATCCAGTGCCATTCTAGGAATAAATTCTTTGATATACTAATTTTAATAGTTTGCTAAGAAAATAAAGCTTTAATTGCTACTACAGGTTATCATCATGATCATCCTTCTGCCTAAGATCCCTAAAAGAACCTGTCTGTCCCCTTAGCATTGGGTGACACAGGTATAAATATCTCAGGACTGAATACATGAATTCAGTCTGTGTGTATGTTATATATATATATATATATCTACCAAGCAGTGGGAATGCCCAGTTCTTAATGGAGTCTTCTCTGCCTGGACTAGACACCTTTCTTCAGACTCCAGTGGACCACAGACCAATCACATCCTGTACCACATACGTGTTCTACAAGTTCAGCACCTTGCCCCAAATGCCAGCGTCAGAAGTGAACAAAGTGTTCCATACTATCAGTCTCAGAAGTTACCAAGGTCATTGTTTCTACTATAGCTCAGACAGCTCAGTTCCCCTGGAAAATACTGTTTTTACTACCAGTGTAGAATAAAACAAAGGACAACAAGACATTCCTCTCTTCTCTGAAAGATGAAGGAGCACTCTGGAAAAGCTGCTGTCACCTCAGTAATACACCAGTCCCCATCCTGCTCCAAGCTGCCAAATCAGTTATGGCAACAGCTGAGCTTTCCACATTTAGGGCGTGTTAGTTGTAGGACTCCAGTTTCTGACTCATCCTCACTGACAGGACAGCTGGAGAGGTTAAAGACATCTGACAAAGGCATTTTGAGTCACCCCACTATCTAAAGGATAAAATCAGTATGATTTGAATCAAGAGTCTAACCCTTTAAATACTCATTTGAGATAACTCATGTAAGCCATCATTGCTATACTTATTAACTAGCACAAGGATTTGAAGAAAAGGCTGCATCATAGAAGAAAATAATATCAAATCAGCGAAGTAAGTGAACATGCTTTTTCAAAAAAGCTTGGCTAACCCACCAAGATTTGGATACTGACATGCCAGACATGACATACTATGCGCAGGTATTTAAGCCTCATTTTCCTGAGCATTCTTACAGGGAAGATTCAAACGTGGATGCAATGCTCATTTGAGTGTTGAAGGGTCCTAACATAGTATCTGCTGTGGTGATACAGATAAAGTAGCATCAGTTCTGCTGGTTCTTTCTTGATGTAATCTAGGTTTGTGCCAGTGACATGGTGCTCTGCTCATCCCTGAGTGGCTGTTGATGAGAACAATACCAGTGCAAAGCTGTTTATACTGACTCAAACACATACAGAATTCTCATTTCAAAACCTTTTCTACCACGAGGGAAAAGGAACTGTGTTAGAAGACACTAATACTAAATACCTAAGTATTATTACATTGAAGACTGTGGGTGTATGCAGCTCTATTTAGATACTGGTCTGGATCTGGTAAGGAATACAGAGATATTGCATTGAATCAATTACTCAAGACTTTTTTTAAAGCCATGCATAGGCATTGTCAGACACCACAAATTTAACTACAGTGTTACTGAATTAAGCATGTCATACACTGACAACAAAAGTTTGGTTTTTTTTCAAGGAAGAATAAAATGTTTTGTTGCTGCATAAACAAGTAAAGGACCAATTCTTAATTTATAGTTTAAAGGTTTATGGCAAGAGTCAGAGGCTGACATACACGGTATATGCCTGGCCAGTTCTGTGTACTATTTTATCTCTTTTCTAAAGGGAAAGCTTCCTAGGGCAAGCTGTCAGAGCATTGGTAAAAATGGAAAGAGCCATTACATCTAGCCCTACCACCTGTTTTCTTTTTCCACTGTGGGATCACAAGATCTATGACTTGCTTAAAAGCAGTTTAAGTTCAAGGCTCCACCAGTGGAAGCATTACTTGTGAAGTATGCTCAGAAATCCTGGGGAGCCTGCTGCAAAATCTGCAGTTTGTGAACTGCAGGCAGCTGTAAATTTGTTGGTATTTTTAGATCAATAATTACTGAGGTAAAGCAAGAAGTAGCAACCTCTGCTGCTTTGTAAATATACAATGCTTTATATCATTACATCCCAAAAGAACAGTGCTGTTTTGGATGAAGATTATCAAGTGAAAATCACCCACCTCTCAGAAAATATAACTTGCTAGCTGAACAGGAATATATCCTCTTTTAGGCTCCTTAATTTCTTAGTGTCTTGGAAAACACATTCAGATTCTCCCCAAGT